CTCACTTCGACGAGGATTCCCAATCGCTTTCGCGGTCTGTATCGTCTTTATCTCCCAACACATCCCCCTATCACCACTATCATGAAGCTAACCATCATCAGATCAGATGGTGGATTAGATCAAATCGGCCTCGACTGTTACAAAGAAGGGAGATATAGTTGGATGTGCGCACTTTATGTTGTCCCGGTGTTTAGAACTTGCCTGGATGGGGGCTGCAGGTTTTTGAGAATTTTTCCGGCGCGCGCGGTTTCCATTGCTACCATTTTTTAATTTTTTTTTGGATAGAAGGTTTCAGAGAAAAGGCGGCCGAATTCCACGGATAAACACTGAGCTGAATGGCTATTCATCACAAGCAATATATCAATGATCTTTCAAGAAACATGAGAGGCAAGAAGCACTGTACAAGGTGTGGCCTGGGTCAGAAAGGAACCCAATGTGCTAGATAGTCATAGACTCAGGTAGTACAATAAACATCACTCTCTTACTCACTGAATACCACCTCTATGACCTTAAATTCCGCCCTACTGTCTACATAATACTCTGATAATTTGAATTTATAGCACAATGGGCACACACACAAACTCTCTCTCTATCTCATGCTAATACGACTTGTATGTAAGCCTAGCAAGCAAAGAGTCAGTCATTCTATGCTCCTTTATACGCTTCGAAGTGCCGGAAAAGAGCACGACACTTGGATTTGACTTGTGGCTTCGGTTAATTGCTGCATCAAGACCCTAGCATAGTCGCCAGGGAGAGAGCAAGGGATCGGTATGCTCCATTTGAACACGGGCAAATCATACAATTTCGACGCAAAGCTAAATTTAAGCGCCGCCTGGCAATGGTATGGGTAGCCCAGCCTAACTGCGGCTACCCGACCATCCTAACTAATTTCCAATTAAAGTAAATTCCTATATTTGCATCAGCTTTGAATTGCGTACGTAGCTAGCTATCTGTGATACAATAACAGATAAAAATTATAGGATAGATGACTTAATATAAAAGAGTACGCATGCCTTGGATTACATTTGAAGGCACTACGGCGAAGTTGTCCTGCCACTTTCTTCACCCCAAGTCAGCCCCATCCGTGAATATCCACTGAAGTACAATTCTCAAAACCCCTGAGTCATCCAGATAATCCTCCATCCATTTACTCTTCTCCGAACGAGATTTGGTCTGAGACGTCTTCTACCCAAGTGGAGTAGGTGCCCAGGCTACTCAAAGTATACCAGAGAACACCACCAGGAGACGGACTACGGCACCCACTATCGTTGGCTTGTTTTTATAGTGTCGGCTACACTCTCGCAAGCGAAGTCTTGCTGCTCACAATGCTCTTCGATTTTTAAAAACACCTGGCCAAAATTCCAAGTCTCACACCCGTCTAGATTGTATCCCTACTTTGCATCATCTTGTAAACTTGTACTGATCTCTCTCACGTCCATGCCAAAGAACTGTCCCCCAAATTCGTGCGTCACGCTTAGTTTCCTCCGTCGGATATAAATACTATCGTAGGCATGTATTTGGTGGCCAGAGAGTAGAAGAGAGGTGTAGTTATTGAAACGAGGATGTACTGGGTTGTAATTCTAAACTTGATCCATAGGGCATGACCCACATCATCTAATGGCAAATATTAAGCACATCCGTATCCAAATTGACTAATAACTTTAAAGCTACTTCGATAGTTTTAGCTGTCCTTCACAGTCATAGACCCAGTAGGGACAGAATTAAAATAATATTCTATTCTAAACTTGATGTTTTTTGGTGGGAGCCGATGACGTTGGGGGTGAAAGATTGACATGGTGAAGTAATTTGAATAATCGCCGCCTGGGCCAGGTTCCTCGGTATGGCTAAATTTGACTAAACTTGGCTCTGGAAGAACACTTCAATCCCTGGTTCGTAGGGAACCCGAGGAAGTTAGTGCCTAGGCAGTGGGAAATTTGCTCTGACGCAGGCGACTATTACCTTTTCCATCTGCTGCAGAAAAAAGACACACGATTGGATGCCTAAGCGCTCGCGCCTTGGCGGGATCTACCCGGCCACCAGGCTTACGGGAAAATGTGGGTTTGAGGGGGTGCAGGCGGGAGATGAAAGCCCAGAAATGTCACAAAAGAGGGGACATGACTAACCTAAATGGCATTGCCTATTAAATTGTCAAGGCGTCACTTGGCATACGATTTCATGATGAGGTGCTGCCAACTTCCCATGGACTAACAATTATTTAACCATGATTTTGCGTTGTGACCACGTAAATCATGTTCACCAACGATACGTGTGGGCTGGCTGAACCCATGTGAGCACCCGACGTGCACAAACTCGGCCCAGACCTTTCCGCCTGGAGAATAGAGAGATGAAGACTAAACACCTGTCAAAAATTATCCTGTAAAGCTCCAGCCCTGGCTGCAGAAGCTGTAAAGTCCAGATTGAGTCCTTCGCTATCCACGAGGACGTCTATTTTCATCGGGTCGAGGGTATTCCCCAACACGCGAGACGGCACGAAAAAGTTGTCGACTACTCAATAGTACAGACCTTCTCTTAAGATACTCCAAGACTTATTTACATTCCACGAACTTTACTAAGGCACGAATCAAGTAAAGCATTGAGAGAAGATTACGAATAAATAAAATAACTTTCTATGGCCAACATAGGCCTCCAGAATCTAGATGGCCTCCTAGAACCCTGAAGAAGGATAACTTTGCCTCCAGATTTAGTACTGATATCGACGATGGAGAAGCCCCCCTCCCGATAGGGTTTGCAAGTCTTCTCATCTATTATATACCAGTATATAGTCTTCGGTTTGCTGGTAGGAAAGGGGAGCAAAAAAAGGGTAGAGGGCTTCCATAAGATTACGGTCTGAAAGAGCCATGTAAGATATGGTCCTGTTGGACGAAAGCTCGGAAGAAGGCAGAGGAGAGGATATAATACACAAAGCATACCTACCCTTGAACTCAAAACGATCTGAATCTTTATGCCTTGTGTGGTCATAGACTGAAAAAGAAAAATAATTAAGAAAGAAACATATATAGAGGCCCAAGTTTGGAAATTAATATTAAGTGCTCTTCTCTCATAAAATTTGCGTAATATAGTATATAAATATTATGCTTAAGTTAGCTGAGAGACTTAATCTATCCCAGGACCAAAAGTTCTGTACTCATGGTTTCTGTCAAATGCCAGAGCGGCAGATTATAGGATATGCCAAATTTAGTCGCAGCTCTGTGTTTCATCAAAAGATTGAGCGTGGCGGGGTCACGTCCTGCAAGGCACTGCTTCTACTGACATGCTTAAAGCATAAGGGATTGACGGGACTGGGTTCGCCGTGGAGCCGCGATCGGCTCCGGCCTAGTCGTCAAAAGAGGAAGCGATCTGCTGGTATTTTACTGCCCACAGATACAACTCAGAAGGACATTAACCTGTCAAAAGCGGTGGAGATCGCCCGCAAAGTCTCCGCGGCCCGATCGAACGGCATAAAGTAGGCGCCAAGATGGAGTATCTATTAAAAAAATGTTCATCATTCGTGATCCCATCATACTACCAAGTGTATTTTTATCTAGATATGAACAATTTAACCCTAACTTTACATTTACGCAGATTTGCATCTAAAAAAGTCGGACCTAATGCTCTTTTACACAGCCATCTCTCCACTCGCTAATAAATGCTATGAGTAGTTAATTCAAGACTAAGACGAGGTTCAAGATTTCGGAAGTGAACAGTGATGTGCTTCGAGGAAATCAAACTCTTGCGCTGGTGTACAGATCCTCAATTAATGTAATAACCTGATAGCACTAGGTCAGGACATCATTGAGGTCTAAAAGGCAAAGAGATCCTGAGACAATCATAGTGTTCAATGTCTAATCAAGTGGAATTTTGCGCAACAGCATTTTTACATTAGGTCATCTTGAAGGTTGGAGTTGACATGATTCGCTAATTGGTTGAAGTTTTGCGTGGCCTGGTCATTCGGATGTATCGAAGTCAGTGTGTTCGGTGGCAGCCAACCTGGTTCAGCCCAGCTTCATATGCGCCCAAGCTCCCAAAGAGTGCTGACGGTACAATTTGCCTATTACTACAAGTAACATGACGAGCTCGTCATAGTCATAAGTGACTCGACATAGAAGTGAGGGTGGTGCCTATCCGCAGTTAGCGACATAAAAAGACTCCTCAAACAGCTTTTACCCTTTAAGACTTGCTGATTCTTGGGTTCAATCTTACAAGAGTTGAGGTCATACCCGTGGCTAGGTTGATCTACTAACGGTGGTTTTCGCTACTCCTTTCCAAGATTGCACATATTTGGGCTCCTTGTAACCTCATGTTGATCTTGCTAGAGTCTATGATGTGCCTGTATTCTTTTCTTTAACCCTAGATTACCTTTGATCAGCTTTTTGTTTTTTGAATTGATAGTCGAAGTTTTGACCTGCCATGATATTTCGCTTTTTAAACCCATCTTTTAACTTGATGGATATCTATTTTTAATAGAGTACCAGTCTCTCGACCGAAGACCACGGGGTATTGTTTCCCGCACCTTTTTGCATCAACCATGGAAATGTAAATTGTTAGAAATCTTCACAAAGTGAGTTGAGGGGGGGCTAGGATAATAGATTGTCGTCAGCCTGTCGTAATGAGAGGACGTAATTAAATCAATGCAATTGTAGGTCGCCAGACCAGTAAACCACTTAATCAATGCGATCTAGATTGATGATTCTCATGGCATCAATTAGCCCCTGGTTCCGTGCACGGGACTCGGCACTTCAGTGCATTTGGCACTTGGCCAACACGGTTGCTGCCCCGTGCGTAGCTCATTGACTGAACTACTCCTGCAACCCCATAGTCAGACGACACTCATTCCCTATGTTCTATCAGCTCGTTCGATCTCCCAAACTACTGTAGTCCCATTGTTTAATACTTCATCTTAATCACTCGTTCAAACTTACTCGCAATATTTTTAAACTAATCAAGCTCAACCCTCTGCACAAGATTTGAGGGTTCATTTCCATGCTACGATCCGCTGTTCCATGTCTTCTCAGCAGCCCCTGGCTTCGACACACATTAGTATCTCGCCCAAGATTCTCTCAGTGCCGAGAGACTCTGAAACACCATATGCCTCAGAGCTTACTAGCATCTCGACCTCCGCCACTCCCCACGTGTACCAAGAGAACACAATGGCGCCACTTACTTTAGCGCCCAAACGAGCTCAGATGAACAGTCGCTCACTATCATTATCGTCAGTGCAAAGGAAGCCCTTGCCGCCCATCGGGCCTTCACTGGCCATCATGAGGTACTCATTGGACCATCATGTTGATACCAGACCCAGTCTCCTTCAAAGCCCGACTTTCATGTCATATCCAGTAGATAGTCTGAAATTTCAGATGGCTCAGGTAGCGCCGGTGTTGCCTAGAAAATGTAGTGCTATCTATTCCAGGTAATAATCAACCCGAAGATTCCAGCCAACAAGACTTCTGGCTAATACAATGACGGTCAGTAAGGAAAGCTCATCAGTGCCCGAGCTGTCTCCCGAATTATCCCATGAGCTTAGTACAAGCGCTGAGCTCCAGAAGTCTATTCCCTGTCAAAGTAGTCCAAGCTTATCAGTCCCCGAATCTCTCGCGCCTATTGACACGACATATAATCAGCCATGGATAACTTCTCCACTCACTTCACCCGACTCAGCAAGTTCATGGCTCAGCGAAACTGATTCTATTGTCCCTCCACACTTAGTCATGCCAGCTCTGTCCCCGGAATCTCACTCATCTCTCAATCGACCTATTACTTCTCCATGTCTCAAGGAAACAGACGATCTAAGTCTCGTGCCACTCGGATTTCAACCAATGTCGCCAACTACTGCAACACTCAGTTCCTTCTTCAGTTGGCCGGGAAATATCTCCCCGGCCCTATCGACCACCACATTTTCTCAACAATCTTCTAGTCCCATCTCAACCCCGCCAGCTTCTGAAAAAGGCGTCCGAACTGCAAACGAGGGTTCCTACCGGAATAAGCCGCTTGGAATAGATCTAACTAAAGCAAATATTAATGAATGTTATTTCGAAGGCTCAAAACTTCAACTTCCACAACAAATTCTTACCCCGTCATATTGCCTCGATGATATGGAGAGAGAACTTCAAGAAATAAGTTCAGAGTTAGCGGCTTCGATCAGAAGAGAGATGGAACTAGAGGATTTAGTTGAGCAATTACAATCAGAAGCGCAAAATGTATCAGGTTCTGGAAGACGGACAAGTGATTATTTCTCAGACTCTGGTACTAGCTCTGTAAAATATGGCGGAGAACCAGAGTATAAGAACAATGAAATTGTTCGCATAATGAGGAAAAACGAGCAAGATGTGGCACAAATAAAGCTTGAACTTAATAAAACTGTTCACGAGGAAAGAATGAGACGTAAAGAGCTTGAGACACAGGTTCGAATTTTAGAGGAAAAAGCATCTCGAGTTAGTTCTTGTAAACTTGGAAATTGGTTTTACTAACTGTTATTCAGACAGAATTTTCCTCAACAGAGTCAGTAGACGTCAACAAACGTATAAAAGAACTCGAAGAAAATTGTGAAGATCTTCGAAGGCGCCTAGTGGACGAAAGGAAATTGAAGGAAAATTTTGAGGATCTTCTTGTGGCGCTCAAGAGAGAACTGCGCGACTCTCTTAACGAACGAGATAACCTTCGAGATGAGATTGTACCACAACTACGGGCTCGGGTTGAGGGTCTCGAGTTGCAAGCTGCTGAACACGAAAAACTTGCATACGAGCAGTCAAAAACCCAACAGGAGATACATACTATAAAAGGAGAAAAATTGGCCCTTATGATCTCGGAGAATGCTTCATCAGAGATTTCTAATGAGATCAATCGATTTGCCACGGCATCTACTGATAGTCAACTTATGTCATTTAATAGACCCAACTCTTTTTCACTAGGATCGAAGCTTCGACTTTCACCTCAATCGAGAACACTAACAGTGAAAACGTTTGAAACCAAAGAGGCCTTGGCTGATAGAGTCAAGGATATTGAACTTCAACGAGACTCTCTACATCTTGCTCTGAAGAGTTTACTAGAACGCCAAGAACACCAAAATCGCGAAAATCAAAAAAAGATAAACCAGTTGGAAGCTGAATTAGGCAAAGCACTGTCGACTTCACCAAAAAGACCAGGATACGAAAGTGAAGTAAGACATTTGCGAATAGAAATCAATGCGCTTCGAACTCGCGCAGATGAAGCAATTCAGCAAAAGTGGCAGTGTGAAAAAGGCTTGAGTGGCCTTAAAATGGATCTTGATCGCGCAGAGCAAGATATAAGTTCCCTGCGAACTCTAATTGACCAAAATGACCTCGATTATCCAAAGGAAGCTAACCCAGGAAACATAAGCCCAAAAATGATTTGTCTCGAGAATTCATTCTATGAAATGAAAAACTGTTACTCCGAATCTCTTAGAAAAATAATATCTCAAAACTCTTCAGCTTTAGACGCCGAGACTCTACAGACTTTACAAGAATTTGAACAAGTACTTTTGGCAGCTGTAACTGATCGCGAACATGTCGCACAGGAAACAACATCGCTACGAGAGCGCAATAAAACTTTAGTAGAAGAAGGAAAGCTTTTGATTGAGGAAGGGACAACTCTTGCTGAAGAACTCCGTCTTTCCTCTCAGCGGGTTGAGGACCTTTCAGCTCAGATAAGTCAGCAACTTGCCACTAATGGCACACTTAGAAGGCGCCTAGCCCAAACGATCGAGCGTAGTGAAAAGGATCAAGAGGAAAATGCTCGCAAAATTATGAGTTTGCAGAGTCAATTAAGATCATGTGAGGATCAATTAGTCAATGCGCAACATATTTCTGAAGATCGTATTCTAGCACACGAAGAGGATATCCGTGATGTGAAAGATAGTCATAATAGACAACTACAGCGCACCAAACTGCTTCCTCACTCTCCACTTACTCCTACAATGGCCAGATCAATAAAATCTCCTCGATATAACTTCGCTCTAGGCTCTGTTGCGGACGACATAAAAATAGGAAAATTATGGCAAAAAATAACTGACCTCGAAAAAGCTTTGTCAAATTCGGACAGTGAAATGGAGTTAGTAGTTGGCCGTATGAATGCAGCGCAAATACAGGTCATGAACCTACAAAATGATCGGGAAGAAGCACTCCGGGAGACAAAACGGTTACAACAAGCGATTGACTTGGAGAAAGCAAAGGCAACCTCTGGAACCTGGACATCGCTTCTTTCTTGATTAGATCGACAAGAAAACATCAAAAAACGTTTAATTCTGAATAAAATAATATATTATTCGCATAATAGCAGAGAAAATTTCTCAGTAATCAAGTAACATATTGTTTCCATATCCGGAGTTCTCGGTGCACTAATACCCATTACCCTTAAATGGTTAGGGTACATAAATTTTATTTGTTAAATTTTAATGTTACATTGTTATAAGAAGCAAAGGAAAGGCGCTTCTAGTAATGGAGTTGGGCTTTGTATCAAATGGTTATTCTGGTGTTAGGGGCCACACAAAATTCTTTTGTTCTTATTTTTTCTTTATAGGAAGCTTACAATGGGGTGTTGACTGAAGAGTGTGGCAAGACAGATGTTGACATTGTGGAGAAACAAATTTGGTATGCTCTAGTGTACAACTAAATGGCACTAGCTGTACTTCGTCTTCAAATACGGATAGGGGCTGAAATACGCAAACCTCAAAATCAATTACAAGAAAACCGCATTTTCATGCGCGTAATACTCAAACTTCAAAATTCTTTTGAGTCTCGTTCTCTTATTCATTGAGTAGCTAATTTTTAGAGGATGACTATTGCAATGACTTCTATCACTTTATTTAACAGTGTGTAGTTATCATCCTCTCGACTCGTTTTGATCGTTGTCCCGTATAAATTTCAAATATCTCATTTGTGTTTAGAGATACTATTACTCTAGACATGATTCACGAATACTGTTTTGAATTTAATTTCATTTCGCCCGATATGGCGCCCTATGGGCCCATGCAGGTGTCTACGAACTCTATTACTTACATAGGAGGAAACTTCTATAGTAAAAACCCCCAACTTTTCAATTTGTTTACATTTTGATTCGGTGTTACCTGTAAGAAATGCACCAACACCGTTATGTCCAGTGCGGATCCCGTCTACTTCCCTGCTAATGGTAGAAGTTTGTCTTCCCTCTACGCTCTTTTCTTGCCTTCATCGTGGCCTCGACTTCAAGCGTCAGTCGAAAATGCTCTAGCTGTCTTTCCTACTGGATCCATCTAGTTATCCTTGCTATATCCTTAGGGTTATTCATCATTGCTTCAAATGACCGATTCTATACCTTTCTCGGTATTTCTCCTCTTCCTTTGGCCCAGCTGGTGCAGGCCATGACCATGTACTTCACATTCTGGGACGGCTATCCACATTGGCATCGTGGGTTGCCTACTCCTGGAACTTTTCTTCTGTGCAGATAGGAACTGAACCCAATATGTTTGCTTCTTATCTGCATGGTTTTTTTTTGCATCAGATTTTAATTGCGTATGCAGCTATCTAGCTATGACATAATATCAAAGAAAAGTACAGAATGGATGATTCAACGTAAGGGAAGAGCACTCATGCCCCAGATTTCATTTGCAAGTACCACTGCGAAGTTATGGTGGCTTTTTCTTCACCCCAGGTCAACCCCCATCCGTGAATACCAACCCAGGGGAACATCTCAAAAACCCTGAGTTATCCAGACATGCCTCCATCATCATTCAACTTTTCTCCGCGCGATATGTGATCTGATGTGTCTCTTTCCCACGTGGAGTAGGTGCTCAGGCTACTCAAACTATACCGGGGAACACCACTAGGAGGCGGGCCACAACACCTTCCATCGTCGGCTTGTTTTTACAGTGTCAGCTGCACTCTCGCAAGCAAAGTCTTGGCGCACACAAAACCCAATTCGAAAAACTCCTCGCAAAAATTCGGAATCTCATGCCCTTCGAAGTTATATCCTTCCTTTGCATCATCTTTTCAACTTGTCTTGATCCCACCCACGTCCATCCCAAAGAACTGTCTTCCAGATTTGTGCGCCACGCTTTGATTCTTCCTGCGGGTGTAAATATCGGCGTGGGCTTGTAAATGGTGGTCAACTGAGACCAGAGAAGGTGGAGGAGTGGTGTGATCATTGGAATGAGGATGTACTAGGTTGTACTTGCAGAATTGATGAGACTTGGGTAGAAGTCAAACTCGTTGGGTGCGAAAAAACGACGTGGAGGAGTAATATGAATTTTTGCCTAGTGGGCCAACTTCTTTGATACTGCGAAATTTGACTGAACTTGGCTCTGGGAGAATATTTCACTCCCAGGTTCGTAGAGGACACCGCGTACAGGTGTTCAGTTTTGCCCTCCTATCTGCATGGTTGTGCTGTTCTGGCACGAATACCATTAATAAATGTGTTTGATCGCTACACAGTAAAGTCTCATCCTAGTAAAATGACAAGGATATGCTGCATTTTAAATTTATGAGCATGAAGGATTCTTAGATGCTATATACGAAGCCCCACATCCCAGGGGAGACTTTAGTAATTGATTGTCCTTTTCTGTGCCCTAACTTTTGCTGAGATTCTAACGATTTTTAAGTCTGAGTCCCGACTCTATGTGATAAGTAGTAGACGTTGACTACAGAACTTAGATCGCTTTCAAGATCGACAATGCCTCGAATGGTAACAATCCTGGATATACTAACGTCGATGCCATCAATTAATAAAATCCTTGTTCTGGAACTTAGAGAGGGCTTCGTGTGAATTTCACGTGAATCGTCAAAAGGTCAGAGCAAATACAAGAAAGATTGATTGGTTTACTTCGTGCTATGAGTCCATTGAGGGGGACGAATCTCAACTCCTGTCGGTGGTGTCCCCTACGTGCCTCCAGCCCTCACTGTAGAGTCTGCAGAGCCGAGATTGAGTAACACCTTATCAACTTTGAACTGAGTTATCTTCCCCTCTGTCAAAGATACGCTTCCGATAACACATAAGTCGACCAAGACGATGATAATGATGCTGAGAATGATGAAAGATAATGCGGTACCAAACGCTACAACGGTAGTCAGAGAAGCCCTCATTATACCACAGCATGTGCTACCCTTCGGCGGGCGAACAAAAAGCCCACGAAAGCAAAGTAAAAGACCCTTCCGCCCTTAAGAAAAGCAGATTTCGAATCGTCAAAAATATCGTCCCTACTAACTTTAACTTCCGAATCTACTAGCCAGGAGGGCATCTGAAATTCATGAGTTACTCGACGACCCCACGTCCGTAACGACTTTTGGATGCTAGGCTAGGCTCCTTCACGTCAGTCACTCTCGACCAAGACTTTTCTGACATCCTTTCATGACCTTCGGTTTGTGCTGCAGCATGAATCAGGGAAAGAGGAAGGAGGAGGCTAGGAAAGCTGAGAGACACTCTTAGGTATACATAGGTCTGCTGCGCCCGGCTGGCCGGCCTCTTCGTCATAGGAGAGCCCCGCACCCAGTGGGGTTTGAGACTTTTCCCTGCAGCTACACATCCGCAAATGGCCATCGTTTCGTTGGCTGGAGAGGGGAGATAATGACGGGATAACGGGTCCTCTTAGTGTGTACTCGAGTGAAGACCTGTGGAGGTATTTCTGCTGGAAAGAAGTCGTGATGGAGGCAAAGGAGGGAGCACACTACCCGAGGCATAGATACTCTCGGCCTATAGGCAGAAAGGGCCTAAATGTCCTAACATAGTCACAGACTTTATAGGATAATAAATAAATCATATCACTATGTGAGAAAGACGGGTAATGTGCTCAGACACTTTTGGGCTCATCCACCGATCTCTTATACTTGGGTTAGGTGTCAGGCTGAACTAGAGCTTTTTTTTAGAAGAACGGCCCGAGTAATATGACACTTGGCCTTATCAACGCATTTTATCAAATATTACGGGCGTCCAGCTCAGATTTTAATTTATAGTATTTTTAGCAGCGAAGGCTTTTGAGAGGTATTGCTGTTAGATGGGATTTGTGAAGGAGGCACGAGTGGTGACAAATTACCCAAGGCATTGATTTCCCAGGACCATGTAAAGAAGACTCAGAGGTGCCCGATGGCCACAGATAGAAAAACGCAAGTAATCCAACCTCATATTGCTTTGCTTTCCCGTGCGGATAGACTCTTGTGGTGCATGAAAGCATCAAGAACTTTCGTATCAGTGAGCGAGGCGGCTTGTGCGGCGCTGCAGGACGTACTGCGAAGTACCACCAGCAATCAGGGCACTGAAACGCCAGTCTTTTATGCGCGCGCTGAGTTCACATGTATTGAAAGTTAATTTACATCATTATAGCCTCTTTCATGCCATTTTTTATGCGTGCGCTTCACACAAGAGATTTAGGAGTCTGTAACTTCAATAAGATTGGCATGGGATACTTTTTCTTCCTCAATGAGTTTAAATCTATGAAGACTGATGGGCCAGAAAGTAGCGGTTGTTTTGATCTAGAATAGCTCGAATGCATACGAGCCAGTGACTGAATATCTTAAGAAGACAGATAATTCTGTCCTCTTCAAACATCCCTCTGAGTATTTCCATGCCGTTCAATACAAGGCGCTCTACCAACTCCACCCTGCTATACCTTCGTAAATCTGCAGACAAAATGCTTGTGTATCGGGAGAAAACATTAGTCGGAGGAAGATCAAACTTCACCTGTGAATCTAAACAAACTATAGTCGGTCAATTGCTCGCTATAAATTGAAGAAATTATGATGGCATTTACTGTGCTTACGGACACATCCAGAGAAGACTTTATCACTGCCCTTTACATAAACTAGCTACGAGGTTGTTTGAGAGTTTTGCGCATTTCACAAGTTATCTTTAATTCCTGGTAAGATCATTTACTCGACTTCAAGGCTGTATTGAATGGGCTTGGTGAAGACGGCTAGAACCTTAACGAGACTAACTTTCTTGTATGTGATAGCGAACCATGAAGGTAATGTTACTTGAATTCGAAATTTTTATTGTGAGAGGACGGACCCAACATCTATTTAGACGTGACACGGGTATATGGGCTCTGAAAGCTCATTGCTACCTACATGACCGGCAGTGGAGCCAGAAGCGACAAAAAAAAAGAATGAAAAAAAAAGAAAAGTATATGTCTGAGTTACGGTGCCCTGCACCGCATCCCTATCTTCCACACCCATCTCCTCTCGGGTCAGAAACAATCTCAGCGTGGTCACCTCCCACCCTGTTCATTCTTCGGCAGACTGT